TCTCAACTGTAGGTCCTACTACATGTTATTCTTTTAGCTCAATGTTTAATTATTTGTAAGTGTATTGAATTAAATTAAACAGGAGCCAGCTACATTTTATCTGAATCATACTTTTAAAATGAATTTGTCGAGCAAGTCAAATCTGACAGCCAAAGTTGGTAGTTAAATAAACAGCCACCCAGAGAAAGTAAAATGAATACAGATATTAGTTTTAGAAGTACAAGAAAATGGAACATTTAGTGTATCATATGGAAAATTGTAAGCAAAATAAATCTAAGTACTGTCATGGTTGGTTTAGAAATCAAACCCACATGCAGAACACCACTTGGAGACTGATAAAAAGTTCAACAGAGTTTATTAAAGGTTTGCACATAGATAACATGAACTGGATTCTGGAAACTGGCCCGGGCAGGATTCTCAGGCGTCTGCAGAGACGGATAGTTTGATTAGCCAGGTTAACAGATTAGTTGTTGAGGTTTCTGATGTTTCTGAAAATACCTTGAAGAGGTCCAGGCTTTCTTTTCTGAGAGAGGGAACCGGTTGGGTCCAGAGACTGTTGGTTCAGCAGAGTGCTCCTCAGCAGTAGCGTCTAGCTTCTGACTTTCTAGTGACAGACCTTGGTTTGAGGGATTAGCTCTTTCCTAAAGAGCAGCAGGTGGATTCCAGAGTGAGATCTTCAGGTTTGGCTCTCTAGGGCAGGCAGGCAGGTAACAGGTTAAGCTCATCCAGAGCTTCAGACGAGAGACAGGTTTCCAAACTTGGTCAACACTACCGCATTGAAGGAAGGTCTGGCTGCTGATTATATAGGCAGGTCTCCTGATGGGCTGATGAACGTCAGCTGTGCTGGAGGGCTCCAGCCCAGGAGATCCACAGCGCACTCTGCTGGAGAAGGTGGAGAATCTCCAGATCCCAACAGTACCCCCCTCTCAACGACCGCCTCTTGGCGGTCCCGAGGATGTGGACGGGAGGGACTTCTCGTAATCCTCGGTCTGCATAAGCAGACCAGAAGGTGGTTGGTGGGAGGTCTTGTTTCTAGCGCAGATGGGACAAGCCAGAACGTACTCTTTGACGTCTTTATGCAGAGACGGCCACCAAAATCGGCTGTTTATTAGGGCGATGGTTCTGCTCACTCCAGGATGGGCCGAGAATTTAGCTGCGTGCATCCACTGGATAAGGCGGGATCTGACGGAAGACGGGACATACATTTTATTTGGAGGACGATTACCTGGGTCAGGTTCAGAAGCCAGGGCAGAGTTGATCAGATCAGTGATCTCCCAGGAAACAGCTCAAACGGTACATGAGGCAGGGAGAACAGGTTCGGGTGTCTCAGGTTGATCGGTGGAATACAGACGAGAGAGAGAGTCGGGCTTGACGTTCTTGGAACCAGGTCTATAGGAAATGATGAGATTGAAGCGTGAAAAGAACAAAGACCACCTTGAATGCTGTGGGTTGAATCTTTTTGCCGATTTGATATAAGCCAGGTTCTTGTGGTCAGTCCAAACCAGTACTGGATGCTCAGCCCCCTCGAGCCAGTGTCTCCATTCCTCCAGGCCGAGCTTAATGGCAAGAAGTTCTCGGTCACCAACATCATAATTTTGTTCGGCTTGGGATAGTCTGCGTGAAAAGAAAGCACATGGGTGAGTTTTCTGGTCAGAATCTGACTGCTGAGATAGAACAGCTCCTACACCGGAATCAGATGCATCCACCTCAAGGATGAACTGTTTCGTAGGATCAGGCTGAACCAAGATGGGGGCACTGGAAAAGAGTTTCTTTAATTTATTGATGGCATTTTTGGCCTCAGGGGTTCATTGGAATGTTCTTTTAACAGAGGTAAGAGCTGTGAGGGGTAGAGCTGTCTGGCTATAGTTTCTTATGAACCTCCTATAGAAGTTTGCAAAACCAAGAAATCTCTGGAGTTGCTTGCGGTTTTCAGGTGTAGGCCAATCCAGAACTGCCTTTATCTTGTCTTCTGATGGCTTCACCTGCCCGCCCTCGAGCACAAACCCTAGGAAAGTGACAGAATGTTGATGAAATTCACATTTTTCAGCTTTCACAAAAAGTTTATTTTCCAGTAGTCTCTGAAGGACTAAACGAACATGTTTCCTGTGGTCTGAGAGGTTCTTGGAGTAGATCAAAATATCATCGATGTAGACAAAAACAAAAACATTCAAAAAATTTCTGAGGACGTCATTGACAAGAGCTTGGAAACAGGCAGGAGCGTTCGTGAGGCCAAAAAGCATGACCAGGTACTCAAATTGCCCTAAGGGGGTCTTAAAGGCAGTTTTCCATTCATCCCATTCTCTTATTCTAAGGAGGTGGTAGGCGTTTCTTAGATCGAGCTTGGTGAACACTGTAGCACCTTGTACAGGTTCAAAAGCTGATGCCAGTAATGGCAGGGGATATTTATTTTTGACGGTAATCTGATTCAAACCCCTGTAGTCAATACAGGGGCGCAGGGAACCATCCTTTTTACCCACAAAGAAAAAACCAGCACCGAGAGGAGATGAAGATGGGTGAATTATTCCAGCAGTTAGAGATTCATTGATGTATTTTTCCATGGTTTCACGCTCTGGTTTGGAAATGTTATACAATCTACTGCTGGGAAGAGGGGCTCCTGGTAGGAAATCTATGGCGCAGTCATATGGTCTGTGAGGTGGAAGAGACGTCGCACTGACCTTACTGAAGACTGGTGCCAGATCATGATACTCGGGATGAACAGAAGTAAGGTCAGGAGAGTCCATCTCCCCCCTACCTCTAGGAGACTGAATAGTAGGAGCCGCAGAACGAAGACAGGATTCGTGACAGGAGGTGGACCAGGATTCAATGTGGCGTTCAGCCCAGTTGATATGGGGGTTATGACGTTCCAACCACTCGGATCCAAGCACCAGGGGAGAGCAAGCTGAAGGAAAAACAAAAAACGTTATCATCTCCCGGTGGTTTCCAGAGATAAGCAGTTCTAAGGGTTGTGTCTGATGAGTGACTTGATGAAGCTTCTTTCCATCGATAGCAGAAACTCTGAGAGGTTTAGTTAAAGGAACAGTCTCAATTTTTAACTGCTGGACCAGGTCTGAATCAATAAGGTTTCTTTCACAGCCAGAGTCGATGAATGCTGATAAGGTGAGATTCTGGTTAGAAAAGAACAGAGTAGCAGGCAACAACAAATGAGGTGATTTCTCAGATCTTAGGTGGCCCGTCAGAGTCTTTGCGTCGTCTGACGGGCCCTGGCTTTTGATTTAGCCGGGCATGAAGCAATAAAATGGCCAGTCTCACCACAATACAGACACAGTTTAGCTTTAAATCTCCGTTGCCTCTCTTCAGGGGATAGCCTGGTGTGTCCAATTTGCATGGGTTCGGCCTCCGCTCCTTCTGAAGAAGAGAAATGAGAGATTTGGACAGGCGCTGGAAGAGTCTGATTCTTAGACCTTGGCTTGGTACTGGGTTCTGGGGAACCAGAAAAAACAGAAGCATAATTAAATGCAGGAGTTGAAACAGAAAAATTCAGGTTTCTCTGCCTTGAGTGATTTCTAGTCCGAAGTCTGTTATCCAACCTGATGGTCAAACGGATTAAATCCTCCAAACTAGCAGGTTCGTCTATTGTGGCGAGTTCATCTTTAATGTTGTCATTCAAGTACAGAGCCCAGAGGCAAACCTTTTCCAAAACATAAAAAGCTGAATAGGTTCATAATCATTTCACACCTCAATTTCTTTTGCTTATTTTGTTCTTGTCTTTTTCAGTCAAGAACAAAAGTGTGTACAAAAGGGAATCCCATTCTAACCATGCATAAATTCATCTTTCAGATATACCTGTTCTGACAACAAAAGGTCACAAATAATTACCTTTTATCTATTCAAAGTATTATCGTTATGTGACTAATAAATATTCTCCACCAGCAGGAGATGATAATGGGTCATAATCTCTGATTTAGGACTGAATGAACATCTAATTTCATTAGAGCTGAAGGCTAAACAACGATCAGAAACACAATCGGTAAAAATAAAATATTTGATCTTCAGATCACCCCCACAAAAAATGTAATTCATATTTATCTCAATAACTAATACAAGGTAAGGCAAGTTTATTTGTATGGCACAATTTAGTATATGATGCTTTACATGTAAGTGCTTTACATGAATTAGGTAATAAAATTGAAGAAAAATAAAATCTGAATAAAAGCAAAACATTTGTAAAACGAATAAAACAGTTGGACCACAACCTTGAACTAATAATAATTCAGTTAACAATTTAACTTCAACAGTCAAAGGCAGCTCTAAACAAATGGGTTTTTAACTATGCCTTAAAAAAACCTGTTTTTCAGCACTTTTCCAGACCTACCACCTGAGTGGCATGGGAGGTTGATACACTGACAACAAATCTGTTATGTATCGAGGTGCTAATCCATTCAGTGATTTATAGACTAAGGGATCTTAAAGTCTATTCTCTTAGCTGCAGGGAGCCATTGTAAGGACTTCAAAACCGGGATGATGTGATCTACTTTCTTAGTGCTAGTGAAAACAACAAGCAGCATTTTGGATCAGCTGTAGCTTTCTGATGGACTGTTTAGGAGAAACCTATGAAAAAAAGTGTTGCAGTGATAAATTCTACTAAAGATAAATGCATGAAGAAGTTTTTCTAGATCCTGCTTGGACATCAGCCCTTTAATAAAAGCACTTAAGTAGCAGCACAAAAAAAATATGATTATATTGATTATGGGTACAGAATCAGAGCAGGGTAGGATACTATGACTGCATGAGGTCATGGAAAGGGAGAATGAATTGGTAAAGGGGCAAGCACACCCAATGTGAACTATATTTAACTAGTTGGTTAGTTAACCAACCTCTCATTAGGTATTTCCTAGCCCCAAATACATATGTAGCTGCATATGAAGTCTTCTTCCTCTTTTCTTTATGACATACATGGTGGGGGATGGGTGAAGGTAATAGGAGGAGGTTGGGGGAGTAGCATAACGTCAGAAAGCAGTGGGATGTCTTTGTGGAAATGAGAAGGAAAGAGTTCTGAACAGTTCTGAAGAAAGGAAAGGCACTCAATGAACGTTTGAGAGAGCTGGTCTGCCGCAGGAAACGAAACCGGACGGACAGAATATATTATTGCCTGCAATGAGTCTGAAATTCAAGTAAGTAGAAAAACATACAACAAGGACAAATTGAAACTCTGACAGAAACATTCAGGGATTTTTTTTATTTTAATAAAAGTTTAGTTGAATAAAAAGTATAGTTGAAGCTGTTCTTTCAGGCTTTGTTTTATCTTCATGCAAGCCATGCTTTAATTTACAGAAACATGTTTTTTTGTATGTAGTGTTCATTGCTTCATATATTTTTCAGTATAATAATAGAGTTCCTATTTAGTGGGGAAAATTAGATGTGTTTACCACATACTGTAAGTGAAGTCATTGTGTTCATACATTGCTGCTGTCAGTTTTGATACAACATACGGAAGCAGTCGAGCATCTAACCTTAGCGCCTGTGGATGGAAACAATTAAACTGTTTTACTTCCTAGTCTGTCCGCCACAAATGTCCATGCTCTGTTTCCAGCTAAAGCCTCATGCCCTTGAAGTTCATGGAGGGGGTTCATGTATGCTGCAGCCACCCATCATGCTCTGTGCACATTGTGCTGGCTGAGAGGGGAAGTGGTAGCACTTCACAAACTAAACAAAGCAAGAAACATCTGTAATGTTTATACAAGCTGAGTTCAAGAGCATATTTTAAGTAAGCGATAACAAATTTCCATCCTTCCTTCAATGAATAGGATAATCAAAAAATTAAATAATCTTTAAATTCACAGCAACAAAGATTCATCAACTGTGCTCAATAGATTCCAGGATGTGTTTTAATCCTGTTGATCACTTAAGTGACTGCCCTGACATGTAGAGGTTTTCCAAAATGAGGTTTTACTGGAGCAGACCTTTCACTTGTGGCTGACTCATGCAAAACTATAAAAAAAACTTGTAGAAATATAAAAATGTTAATATGTTTCTTTTGACCAACACCCATACCCACCCGCAAAAATAAGTGGACACCTTTATTGCGATTTGTTCTCAGGGACGATGCTAAACCTTGGTCATGACTTTGATATGTAAGATTTAGCAGTAATTGCAGCATAGACATGGGAGGTTTCTAAACTGTGAGATGCTTCGTTCAGCATATTCGTTCAGAGCTGAGTAGAGTTGCCAAAAAGTTTTCACAAGTAAAAGTAGAACTGCTTAGTGCAGACAGCCGTTCATTAAACTCAGTCGATCTCTAAGTTAGCTTCCTGTCATTGTTTTATGTCAAACAGTCTATGATGCAGTTTTTAGAAAAAACACTGAAAAATTGAAAGTTCAGTTTAGGATTTTTTGTCATAGATGAAGATCTTGAGACCAGCGTGCACCCTGCCTCTCGCCCGTAGACTGCTGGAGATAGGCACCAGCATCCCTCGTGACCCCACTTGGGATAAGCGTGACGGAAAATGGATGGATGGATGAAGATCTTGGTTCAGCTACATATCCCATTATACAACATAGATCAAATATACTCCATGAATTTTAGTAGCTGAAGCAGCCAATACTGATTGCAAAAAAATTGTAGGATCAATAAGTTAATATGTAAAACTCTTTAAGGCAATGCTGAGGAGTATATGATATGACTGTTAAAAATTTAAAATTCCCATCTCCTTTGCAAAACTTGCTGTGGATATGTTATAATAAAATTCATAGCATAAAATAACTATTTGCAACAAGTTCATCCAGACCCTTGTGACAAGTATATTTAGTTAATAGACTTTTCCACTGTTAGCACAGCCTGGCATAATTCAAAATTTTAGTTTGTTAAACTGTTTGTCATTAACGTTGTCTACCATGTTAACGCTTGTTAACATGTTTTGGTTTTCTTTGTGTCGCCAAATCCTTTAGACCGGCATGATTCTTTGTGTGGAAGACAGTCAAGGTTGTTTGGATTACTTTTCTTCTCTTGAGCAGTCTTGGAATAATTGTTATTGGATATTCCCAGCCAAGGTTTTTTACAGAGTTTAGTCAGGCTCTGCATATTCAATCTACTAAAGTCTAGAGCAAAAGAAAAAAAAAAGTTAATGATTTGTAGAAACCTCCGTATGCTGAATTTATGAGAATCAACACGTGGTAGAAACCCATTCATGGGAAAATCTTTTATTTCATGTTTATGAAAAGCAATACAAGTGGTGACTCACATGGCTATGGTTTATATGAAAGGCTTCTTAAATTGAACAGCTCTCATTTATATATGGGACAAACACTTAACAAGAACAATTATTTTAACATTTTTTTCCAAAAGTATTTGTCTCTTTATTAAAGTGATCCATGCCAAAATAAATGCAGCTTAAGGCTACCTAATGAGGCCTGGCAAATTTTAATGCTAGATGAAATATCTTCCTTTATTTTAATGGGACGGTGTTTAGTTTGGAAGGCATTTGATGACGTCTGCAGAAGCCAAGCAAGGGTGGGTACTGATTTTCTGTCATAAAAAGGAGCAGGAATAAATGGTTCCAAGTCTGCAAAGAATTAGCCTCTGTGTTCTCCTATATGTTAAGTTCCTGCTTTTTCAGAGTAAAGTCCTGCTGAGGTCATAAGAAACAAGCTTATCTTCAGAAAGTATCTAAAGTTGTGTAGGCAGTGTGTGGTTGTTGGTTGTTTTTCATATCTTAAGTGTTCCTCAATTCACTTTAAGCTCAGCTGTTTGCATTCCTTCATGAGGGAGGAATATGTTTGGTCCTGTCTGATCCTGTCTGGTGTCATACTGGTGTTTGCATGTTTTTTTATGGTTCTTGGAAAGACGATGGAAGTCAGATCCTCATTAGTGGCTTGTGATTTGCTGGCTGTTCCCTACATGGTTTTCTTTTTTGTATTGGAGAAAATGCTTTTATTTTATTATTTCATATTATTATCTTCTAAAGAAGCTTTTCCTTTGGCTAGCCCAGATGCTATACTTTTTACAGCAAATTAGGGAACGGACTGCTTTTGTTGGAAGTTTCTAGTTTAGGACTGGCAGTTGAGAAGGAGAAAACATGAAGTAGTCTTGTTAGGTTATCGTGTAAGAAAGAAACCTACAGATTTGGACAGCTAAGTTACAGTTGCTTCAATGTGCAGTTTTCCATATTTGACCATGCTTCAGCCACAACCTCTAATGGTTTTGTGCACATCGATCAAGTTTTATTAATCAATGCACCATTTTTCCCTTGCTCCAGTTAATTAAAAAATCACGCAGAACATAAGAAAAAAGTTTTGACTCTTGTTAAGATATGTTAATGCCTAATTAGGTTAAAAAACGATACTGAAAGCTTTAAACTCATCAGAGCTGTTTTTAACACATCACATGATAATATGACAGAATTAGCAAATCTACCAAGATACTGTCCGACCAGAAAAGGGGAGGATTAATCAAGAAAGATGGTCATGGTAATACTGGAGTAACTGCAGAAGTTTATAAAAGGAAGACACTCTATATGTGGGAATGGTGATCTGATGGTTAAAGAACTGGGTGTTTGCTTCAATGAATGGAGCCACAGAAGTTGCCAGTTTGTAACTCAAACATCAATCGCAGTCCCTGAGCAACACCTTTAATCCCGGATTGCTCTCAGTTCACAATTCAAAGTGTAGAAGCACACTGCTCTCTAAGGGATGAGCCAAAAGCAGAGGACAAATTTCCCATCTGTGTGACTAAGAATGGATCTTTTTTGTCAATAGAATAACTTCTGCTTGACCATTTTGTTGATGTATCCTTTGTGGAAGAGTAGCAGAAGCTGCAACTATTGTTAAAAAGTCATCAGAATTGCACTTGTCGTTTTGCCACAACTCATTTAGCTAATGGAGTAAATATAGGAAGAAGGTGTATTGGTCAAATGAGATCATAGATTAACTTTTTGTGTTGCATGCAAAACACTACATCCAGCAGAAAAGTAACATTTCACATTACAATGAATATAAAACCTAGCTGGTAGTGACAGCATTGCAGTATGCACAATTTTTTTTTCTCAAGGATGGGAAACATATGAAAGAGTTAATGAATGAGATGTTAAAAATACTTTTAGGGATTGGAAAAAAGATTGAGGAGGAAGATCACTGTTCAACAGGACAACCTTATCTCTGCATTTAAATGGTCCTGACAAAGTTTAGACATACCGGTAATTATTTGGTGAGACAAGACTTCATGTTCACAGACACTCTTCATTCAATCTGACTGAGCATCATAATTTTAAAAGGAAACCTTCAGTCTCTGAAAGCATCGATGGGTTAAAGATGATGCAAGTGTGCTTAATCTAACAGCCGGGACTTAAGATAACCTTTAGGATCTAACTCACTCTTAGTTCTGCAATGAGTGGCCAGCACTCATTACCTCACCACCTCGGCATGCTATCAGCACTGTTTCTGATATCGTAGACCAATTATTCCTGATTTACTTTTCAGCTAATTCTGCATCCAATTGACTGACCCAAAAATTCCTCAAGTTTATCATTTTGTCTCAGACTTCTGTCTAAATTGAAGTTAGGTTTAGTTAAAGGAATGTTTACAGAGCATAGCGTTTTGATCACAACATTGGCTGATGGTCCACAGAGTTGCATGTGCAATGCTGATTTATGTTTGCAGAAAGAGAGATTAGAGAACTTTACCAGTCAAGTGCTGCACAAGCACTTTAAAAAAGCTTGATCAACAACTGGAAAACAAGAAGAAAGTCTCAGAATGTAGCAACATTTCTACCCACTAAAACAAACCGCAGCACATTTACTTATTGTAGACAAGTGTATGCAACCATTAACAAGCTCAAAAACAGATCAGTTCATCAGATGACTTTATGGAGTCTTGTCACACACCTTTCTGTTACATACACATATGGCTTCAGGTAAATAAAGCACCAGCATGTAGGTTTTTTCCCCCTCCTAAACATCAAGAAAAAAAAACCATAAATGAGATTTAGCTGCGAAAGGACCTCAAAAAACAGCCACTAACAACCCAATCTTAAAATCTTGTCAAAATATGAGACGAAAGATGCTAGACATCATGATGGATTGCAGGAGTAGAAAAATAACCAGTAGCCGTTGGTTAGGAGTAGCTGTTGCACCACAATGTTTTCATTAACGTCTCAAATTTACCTTAATGTGAGCAGGTA